ATTTATAAAGAAAGTCCGTGTATATGGCATTGTGGCAATTACCTCAGTTCATAAACTGAGCCATGCAATAACATTATTTCCTTGATGCTCCATTCTGCTGAGGCAGTGGCTGGGCCACAATTCCAGGACATTCAGCAGGGCCAAATTTGCTGGGGGTGTGTTGGAGGGGGGAGATGAGGGAGGAGGCTGGGGGAAGGGTGAAGTTGGACAGTATCCAGCCCTCAGGCAACAGTGATCACTGCTGAGGCACCACCATCTTGTCTCCATGGTCCCTTTGGTCCTGTGGTTTGTACTGTGTCTGCTTTGGGCTCAGAGCTGGGAACAATTTTGCAAGCTGCCTATGATCCTGCCTGCCTAGTAAGCCCATGAGCCATTCCTTTCTGGGGACCCTGCCAAGAAGTAAGTGGCAGACCCCTCCCATTCTTGGCCCAAACACTTATCTCTACTGAGGCTTCCTCTTCCCCTCTGGGCTTCAGCTTTTGAAACACAAAAACCAGCTTTTCTACTCTTTGGTCTGCCACATGCATCGCCAGGAGCATTGAACACAGAACCCAGAGCAAAGAAAAATAGGAAAATGTAAAAAGGAACAAACTAGAATAACATAGAAATATATTAGATGTTTGGAAAAGATCAAGCTGCCTACTATGTAGGGAAAATACTAGAAGGGCCAAAATGGACAGGTCCAGTGAGAAGGTGGTGATGGAGGGGCGAGATGGGGCTGTGGAGATGGACAGAAGTGGATGGATATCAGAGCTGTTTGGGAGATAAAGATCAACAGAACTAGGTGAGAGATTGGATGGGGGTGGAGGAGGTAAGGAAGGAGGCATCAGAAATGACTCCTGATTCTGCCTTGAGAAATGGGATGGCTTTGTCATTGAACATGGTGTGCCAACTTCTGGAACACCCTCCTCCACTGTAACCCCCTCACCTGGCCGATTCCTACTCATCCTTCAGATCTCCATTCAAGCATCACTTCTGCAGGGCCAGTCGGATTCCTCGGTTTTATGCTCTCACTTTCCTTTGCATATTTACTGGGTGTGTGATCACACATCCATTCGTATCTTCCCCAGCAGACTGTCAGGTCTGTGAATTGATCTGGGCTCACCCCTGCATCCCCTGTGCCTGGCACATAGGGCTCAGTAAATGAAGGCTCCAAAATGCAGGCAGAGGGGGCTGGTGTGCAACCTGCAGGCTGCTGTTTCTCAAGGGGAGTGAAGGTTGCTGGGTTTCAAAATACACAGAGTCGGGCTTCCCTGGTGGCGCAGTGATTGAGAGTCTGCCTGCCGACGCAGGGGACACGGGTTCGTGCCCCGGTCCGGGAAGATCCCACATGCCGCAGAGTGGCTAGGCCCGTGAGCCATGGCCGCTGAGCCTGCGCATCCGGAGCCTGTGTTCTGCAACGGGAGAGGCCACAACGGTGAGAGGCCCGCGTACTGCGAAAAAAAAAAAAAAAGTTAGCAGGGCCTGTCGGGGGTTCTGGGGCAGAGGAGCAAGTAGGTGAAAGCAGGAGTTGGAGGATCTGTGGGTCTGGTGGGGAGCTTGGAGGGGAGGAGGTACAGGTAAGGCCTGGAGGTGGCAGAAATGGTCCCCAGAGGCGTTCTGGACACCGGGGCTAGAGGATGATCACGCGCAGTCTCTGTCTTCTACACGGGGTCCCCATGAGCCTCCCCAACCCGCTCCGAAGAAAGTAAATACTCCACACCACCCACTGTTGTGTGGCTGTTAGTCTGTTGTTTTGTTCACTGGCTGTGTCTAGAAAGGTGCCTGTGTCTAGAAAGGCATGAGGCCCCAAGAAATCTGTTGATTGCTGAGTGAAAGAAGGCAGGAGCAAATGTTCTCAAAGTGTTCCCTGAGTCGGGGGAGGCACAGGGGATTACCACCGCTCCCACGCAGAACAGGCTGCTGTGCCGATTAAACAAGGTAATGCATACGAAAGTCTTGGCAGTTTAATAAACTCAGGTTCAAAATCTGGTAAGAGAGAAGTTGGGTTGGGGGTGGGGTGCTATGGGAGGATGCTGGATGGGAGTCACTTGAGGGGGGCCACGGGGACAGCCCCAAGGGAAACCTCGAGGGGTCTTCCAGGAGCCCCGGTGACACCCGCCTGACCGACACCCCTGCCCCACCTGGCGGCAGGCAGGAATTTGCCCTGATGACCTCCCCAGGCGCCCTCCTGTCACCATGGTGACCAATCGCAGAAACAAGCAGCCTGATTGTCCCTGCTCAGCGGGGCAGGTGAAACCCTGGCCACGTGACCGATACTGAGCCAGGTGCGGTTAAGGGACACCCGCCACCTCCCTGTCTTAACCCATTCAACGCCGCCGCCACCAGGGTGCAGTGTTCCTGCGGCCGCAGGCCACACCCCCTTGGCTGTCAGTCCCCAGCCAGAAGGGCGGTGACGAAATACTCGGAGCACTGCACTAGGAGTCACACAGCCGGGCAAGGACTTCGGGTTGCGCCACACGGGGGCTGCATGATTGGAGCTGGGTGACTTCACCTCCCAAATCTCCATTTTCTCAGCAGTGAAATAAGGATGCTAACACCTTCCCAGTTTGGACGGCTGGGAACAGAGATGCGGAAGTGGAGAGTCGATCACCGAGGTCGAGCGTCTTCATTCTGTGCCCCGTTTCTCCCCCTACATCAACCTCAGCATATCAGGGGCTTGACACCCCCCAAGAAGGAGACCCTCACCAACCACCAGCGAGGCCACTGGCCTGTTCCTGACAAGATGGGAGGGGTGGACGGCCCTAAGGTTTACCCCTGCCCAACACCCCATCACCAGAGTCCTTCCAAGGTAACAACAACCCCTCTCCTGGTCCCACTGCTTATTCTGGAGTGTTAAGTGAAAACCTCAAGCCAACTGGTTTTTCTGCTCGCCAGCCAGCCAGGTCCTGACCGGCCACGTGACACAGCTGGGGCCCAGGACTCAGAAACGTCTCAAGACTGCTTCTGCCCCTAGACCCAGGACTCTGACTGGGGGCAGATGGTCAAGGGTTGTGGGCCGGGCTCAGGTTACCCAGTTAGACAGTAGGCTGGGGTGGGGATGGGGGACCACCTGAAACCACATTTGAAATGCTACTCTTCTGAATCACCACCATGACATCAACCCTCTTCCCCTTTATCCACCAGTTCTAGAAAAACTTCCTACCTGATCTCCTTCAAGGACCCCTCCCAGGCCTTGGACCAACCCCCCTCCAGAGCTCAGATGTTCTCATCATGCCCCTATTGACTATGCTGGCAACAAATGATCACACCACCTGGTGTGTTTAGAGTCCCCAGCGATCTCAAAGTCCTCCTCAGATTAGAACAAAACACCTGCCCATCACCAGGCTGGCTCAAGATGGGGGCCACTTCATTAGGCAAGGCATTTATGAGGCCATGGAGTTAGGATGCATCCTACTGTACTGACTCCATCAGGCTTGTCCTAAGGAGGTGGGGGAGAAGCCAGTGGATCCCTGGCTAGCCCAGGTGCCATGTCCTGGAGGGGGCACTGACCCAGCTACCAGCTGAGCCTACACCTAAGCCTCAGCTAGTGCTTGAATCTCTCCATAATCATTCAGTAAAATTACTATTGCACTTTGCGCCAGATGAACAAAACATGACCCAGGTCCTTCAGGAGCCCCCAGCCTGGTGGACACATAGGAGTCCAGACTCTGACAGATGTTTTGAGAACATGAGGTGGAAGAGATTAGTTTCAACTGGGAAACGCTGGGAAGGCTTGAGGAAGAGGTGGCAGTTATCCTGGACCTTAAAAGACATGGAGGACTTGGGCAACTGGCTATCTGGAAAGTGGACACAGCGTCCCAGTGGGAAGTGGTGTGGGAAAGGACCTGAAGGGAGGTGTGCAGTATAGTCCTTGGGGGTGCCTGGCACTGCGCAGCTTGTGGGATCTTAGTTCCCCGACCAGGGATTGAACTCGAGCCCTCAGCAGTGAGAGGACGGAGTCCTAACCACTGGATCACCAGGAAATTCCCCCTGACCGTTTCTGAGCAGAAGAATGCTGTAGAAAGAGCAGCTACTCTTGCAGCTGCTGAAGGCTGGACTGCTGTGGAAGCCAGCTGAGACCTGAGACAATGTCGCCACTGCCACCACTACCCCAGACTGGTCAGAGAAGATGGCAGCCAGTCAGTGCTCCAAAAGGAGGCGACTTCCCTGCACGATGTGCTGAGGGGGGTGGGAAATAAAGGTCTTATTTATTTCTCTGCTGGTAAATGGGGGGCGGAGGTGAGCAGATCTGAACCATTTCAGCTCAGTGCAGCAAATGCCCCCTTTAGTACAAACACCTGGCCTCCCACCTTGACTCGCAGACCAGAGGTTACGTTATACCGCTTGTAAGTTATTTGCCTCAGTTTCCTCATCAGTAAAGGGCAGGAGCGGGGGTCAAAGGGCGGGCTGGAAATGACCTCTAGAGTCTCTCCTAGCTCTTTCTAGAGTAGACTTCAGGATTAGTAAGAGGTGCTCCGTCCAGCCTGCCTGGGCCCCCAGCTATAGAGCACGGCGCCTCCAAGCTGACGCCTCGACGACGGGAGCCACTCATGGCGCCCCTCGCCTGCGACCGCCAGCGGCACAGAAAATACAGCATCCGGAGCAGGCCAGGTGCGGGGTCCACAGCGGGCCCAGGCAGCGCCTCCTCGGCTTGGCAAGGATCTGCTCCGCGGCGAGGGTTCAAGCCCCAAACCCAGCACGTCACGAGCTGCGGGAACGTGATTCCCAAAACTCAGGCTCCGACTCCCCGCAAGAATTCTGCGCGGGGAGGGGCCGGGCGGAGCTTAGCAGGGCGGGGCCAGGGTATTGGTTAGCTCCGCCCAGGGCGTGGCCAGGTACGGTGCTCTCGCCTGTGGGCGTGGTGCCCACAGGGTTTCGTAGTGACGCAAGGGGCGGAGCCTGGGGGGGACAGTTTTCCGGGATTACGTAAGGAAACGTGAGCGAAGGAGGGGCGCTCCGCGATAGGGGGCGGGGAGAAGGCGGAGCTCCAGTCGGAATTGGGCGGGGCTCCGAGCGAGGCGGAGCCGGGGGACAACACGAGGTGCGCGCCGGGAAGGAGATCCGGGAGATGCTCCGCTGGGCCAGCGCCTGGAGGCTCCCCCATAGGGGCCTCGGCCCCTCCAGTCCCAGCTTCTCCAGAGTGCCTGTCGCACCCAGCAGCAGCCAAGGCGGCACCGAGCCGAGGTCAGTCAAGGGTGTCAGGTGCAAGTTCGTCCTTCGCCCCTCCCCCTCCAGTCCAACCCAGATGGCTCCACTTCCTCCGCTTGGGCCCGCCCTCTCCCAGGCCGCTTCGCCAGCCGGCTCAGACCCTTCCCCCACCCTTGCTCCTCCCGCCAGGCCGGTGCCGCTTTCCTACAGACTTCTGGACGGGGAGGCAACCCGCCCGCCCCTCGTCTTTCTGCATGGGCTCTTCGGCTGCAAAACCAACTTCAACTCCATCGCCAAGGCCCTGGCCCAGCAGACCGGCCGGAGGGTGAGCTTCCGGGAGAGGTGGGGACCCGAGGGAGGTGGGGCCTTGGTGGGCGGGGCCCTAGAGGAGGCCGCGGTGTGGCCAGCTTCTCTGTCCTCAGCGCTGGGAGTGGCAGGTCCTTCTCGGCAGAAATTAAAGAAGAGATTGACCTTCTAAGGCTGGAGGCCCCAGGGCAGACCCAGGCCCTAGATGAAGCCCATTCATTCCCTCGTGCTTTCACCCATCCAGTCCTTCATTCGTGTTACAGGTCTAAGTGCTGCACCCTAACCTAGGCTCTGCTGTCAGATGCCTAAGCACCAATACCCTACCCCCTAAGGGGGCCAGACCCTGCTTGTTCACCAGGGATGACAGGGGGCTTTCCACCTCGTCCAGCAGCCCGTCCTGCTGTGCTCCAGCTGTTGCCAATTCTTGGTGTCTGCTTTCTCTGGAGTTGCCACCCAGCTAGGCCATACCTCCAGAGACGTGGTCACACTCCTTGGACCTTCTGGCACAGTGGCTCCAGGTTCGTCATCTGGGCCTCCAAGGTCTGAGAACTGGGCCTTCTCACCTTTCGGGCCCTTCTTCCCCTTCTGGATCTCCCCACCACCCCAGGCTCTCCACCTCCCTCAGCCTGCAGATCTGCCAGGCTTTTGGCTATGCCCTGAATGTGGATGCCAGAGCTGCCCGCCTCGCCCACTCCCCAGGTGCTGACAGTGGATGCTCGGAACCATGGTGACAGCCCCCACAGCCCAGACATGAGCTACGAGGCCATGAGCCAGGATCTGCAGGACCTCCTGCCCCAGCTGGGCCTAGTGCCCTGCGTCCTCATTGGCCACAGCATGGGAGGCAGGACAGCCATGCTGCTCGCACTTCAGAGGGTGAGCCGTCTCTATCCAGCGCTTCTTCCCATCCACTGTAGACCCTGCGTGCCCAGCAGGCAACCTGGAACTCCAGTGAGCCTTGGATGGCCAAGTTCAGGATCCAGGAACTAGGCCTGAGACCTGCTATGCCTGCCCTAAGGTCCCCAGTCTGATTCTCTCCCACAGCCAGAGCTGGTGGAGCGCTTGATTGCCGTGGACATCAGCCCAGTGGAGAGCCCGTCCAGCTTGAACTTTCCAAACTACGTGGCAGCCATGAGGGCCATAGACATCCCCGATGAGGCGTCCCTCTCTGGTGCCCGAAAACTGGTGGATGAGAAGCTCAGCTGTGTTATCCAGGTAATACACCCAAGCCCCTGTATGGTGTTGTGGGCAAAGGAAGAGTGGCAGCCCCGGGCCTCACAAGGAGTCCCTCCCACCCGCAACTGCTGGACCCCCACAGAGCATAAGTATGCGGCAGTTCCTGCTCACCAACCTGGTGGAGGTGGACGGGCGCTTTATGTGGAGGGTGAACTTGGATGCCTTGGCCCAGCACTTGGACAAGATCTTGAACTTCCCACCACGACGAGAAACCTACTCTGGGCCATCCCTCTTCCTCCTGGGTGGAAACTCTCAATTCGTGCTGTAAGCCAGGCTGGGTGGTGGGAGGGGCATACCTGACTTATCCAGCCCCCAGCCTGGGGAGGGCTGGGGTGTGGGCAGGGGGTGCCTGAAAACCCAGAAACACCACTAGGCAGGTGGACTCACGTGGCTCCCCATCCCTCCCCGCTTGGCCTCCACTTCTCTCCTTCTCTCTCCATCTTCCTACTTTCACCCCCTCTCGGTGGCCTTCTCTCCGGCGGACAGTCCCAGCCACCACCCTGAGATTAGACGGCTCTTCCCTCGGGCCCAGATGCAGACCGTGCCTAACGCTAGCCACTGGGTCCACAGCGACTGCCCGCAGGACTTCATGGCTGCAGTCCGAGACTTCCTGGCCTAAGAAAGGCCAGAAGGGGACACAAAACCCCAGGCTTCAAGGCCCTGCGGGCTGCTCCTTGTTTCTGCACAGAAGGACTCAGGTGGGCACTGAGAGGGCACAAGGATGCGTCGGGGGTGTGTCAGACCTTAAACTTTAATGAATAAAGTTACTCTTCCCAAGGTCTTGGGCTGAGCTCTCTCACCGCCAACGTCCCCACCAATGCAGGGGGAATCTGACCCAGGGGGTCCTGGCAGTTCCAGGGTCCATGGGGCTCCCAGAGCGCCCCTGGACTCTCTCTGCAGCTGACTCTCGACCTGCTGCCTCACCATCCACTGCATGTCATCCTGGGGGCAGGAGAGCAGGTTCAGGGGCCAGGCTTGTGCCCGTCTGGCCCAGCCCCCTGGGCCCGGCCGGCAGGTCCACCCTACCTCCCAGGCCTCCACCTCCTGCTTCAGTCTCAGCTTCTCCTCCAGAACTTCCAGCAGCTGGGCCTCCACAGCTCGCAACTTGGCTTTGAATATGTCCAGCTCAGCCTCCACTGCCCGTTTCCTGAGGGGGCAGAGAGAGCAGCCTGGGCGTCAGAGCCTGCAGATCTGGTTCTGGGCCCTGGGGGTGGACAAGTATGGCCACAGCCCCCGCCTTGTGACAGAGTGGGTATTTGTGTGGCTTTTCTTCCAGGAATGCCTGATGTCCCCCCTTCCCCTCCTGGCAGGACAGAGCCTGAGGGTGAGCCAGCCACCACCCTCCCATCCCCCACAAGCAGCTTCCTCTCACTTGGCAATGGCTTCATCCCGCTCCCGGAGGACCTGGTCCAGCGAGGGCTCTGTCTGGGTGTCCCCCAGCGCTCCAGCCACTTGGGATTCTGGGCTCTGTGGTAGGGTGACAGAGGAGGCAGTAGTGGTTTGCGGCTTGCCTGGATGAGGTGCCCCACTTGGCTTTTCCGCCCTGGCCTTGGCCCTGAGGCTGATGTCAGGAGGGGAAGGGTCTGAGACGTTCTGTACCTGCCCCCCAGTGCCCCGGTCTCGTGGGCAGGGGACTGCATCATGCTGAGGGGTTAGTAGGTGTGGCCCCTTCCCACCTAAAGGAAAGCAGAGGGGGCAGGGTGTTTGGACCGCCCCCCTCCACCCCACAAGAGGAAAGGAATTCTCACCTGATCCCCAGGAAAGAGACAAGGTGGCTTCAGAAGGACACTTACCCCTCGAGGGCCCCAGACTGAGAGGGTGGCCTGGTGACTGGGACTCTTGTCAGCAGGGTGGGGCAGGCGGAGGACGTGGCCCTTTGCCCTCCCTTCCTGTCAAGGCACTCCCTGTGAGGCTCCGCCCCGGGTAGGCTGACCATGCCCCTGCCTCCACTCCCGGATCCTGGAACCCTCCAGCCAGACCCAGAGTTTCTTCACCCATTCCTTGTCCAGGCATGCGTGCCCCTCACCTCAAGGGGGCGCACTACTCACATCAGGAGATAAGAAAGGAGTGAGAGCCGGATGACGTCAACGCTGAGAGACAGGTGCCCCAGTCCCCCATGCTGAGGAGTTGGCATCTTGGAAGCTTGAGTGGCATCACCACACATACAGCCATAACCTTAGCTCAGCAGAAAACAGAAGGGCAAAAGTTTAACCGTTCCTGGCAAATGCCTCCTAACACATTGAACCGTCCATCCCCCCTAGCAATATCCTCCAGTATTCCCACAATAGTGTTCATTATTCCTCCAGTATTCCCAACATTCTGATCCTGGAGTGTGGGTGGAGGTGCTGTGCTCTGAGGGGGGGCGGGCAGGGGAAGTCTCAGAATCTCAGTATCCCACACCCCCCCTCGATGTGACCATTGAGAGCACAAGTAACCTCAAACGTGTAAGAGGGCCTCCCCATTGAGAGGCCTTTGCAGCAAGGTTCCATCTTGGGGATTAGACCCTCAACCCCACTCTAAATAGTACATACTTCCTCCAAGACCCCCCAGGAAGCTCCCTGCAGACATGACTCCTGGTTTGTCTGGGTCCCACTCAACCAGGTGCACCTCTAACAGCCAGACTCCAGTTTCTTTGGTTGAACCCAGGTGAAGAGGTGGAATTGAGCTGTACCCCCAAAAACCCCTTTTGTGGAGGAGATTCATTCATTGTGTTTCTGGAGGCTGCTGTATGTCATGATCCAGACAGGACCTCTGCTCTCGGATCTCTGGGGCTAGCAGGGATGAAGCACAGATATAGTCAGAAAAGGGTGTCAGGGAGTCCAGGGACAGTGGGAGCACAAAGACCCCTCACATCCAGTCACGGGGGTTCCACAGGAGCTTGTCCAATAATGAATCCCGCAGGCCAGCAGGAGTCAGCCAGAAAGGTCTAACACTCATGCCAGGCATTTCTTTTATCTTAACTTTTTACTTTGAAGCAATTTCAAACTGCTCTTCAATGTCAAAATGCCCCTG